GCTCAGGTCATGGTCCCAGGGTCCTGGGATCGAGCCCCGCACCGGGCTCCCTGCTCAGCGGGAAGCCTGCTTCTCCCTCTCCCACTCCCCCTGCTTGTGTTCCTGCTCTCACTATCTCTCTGTCAAATAAATAAATAAAATCTTTAAAAACAAAACAAAACAAAAAAACAGAGAGGGAGACAAACCATAAGAGAGACTCTTAACTATAGGAAACAAACTGAGGGTTGCTGGAGGGGAGGTGGGTGGGGGGATGGGGTTACTGGGTGATGGGCTTTAAGGAGGGCACCTGATGGAATGAACAATGGGTGTTGTATGCAAGTGATGAATCACTAAATTCTACCTCTGAAACTAATAATACACTATGTTAATTTAATTAAATTTAAATTAAAAATAAAGAAATAAAATAAAAAAGAAATAAAATAGTGCCCGTTCCCACCAAAAAGACTAGGAAAAAAATTCACAGGGCACTGGGTGGAAAACTGAATAGTGAGGAATAATTAGCCCCAGATTAGCACTGCTCCAGAACCACCTAACAAATCATAAAACAAGACCCGAAAGGGCCAAACTATTTCCAAGGAACTTAACTGCATCCCACCACAAAATTCAAGAATACTACAGGAATAGAAAAATATCCAGCACCCAACAGGTAAATTCACAATGTCTGGCACCCAATCACAGATTGCCAGGCATGCAAATAAAGGGGAAAACATGACCCATAATCAGGGATAATCAATTGAAACAGACCCAGAGTTGACATAAAATTATAATTAACAGAAAAGAACATTAAAACACCCATTATAACTGTATTTCAAATGTTCAAAAGGTTAAGTAGAGACATGGATGATATGAAAAAGAACCAAATTGAACTTGAGAGATGAAAACAACAGCTGCAATGAAAACTACACTGGATGAGATCATCAGCTGATCAGACATCGCAGATGAAAAGATTAATGATCTTGATGACACAGCAACAGAAACTATCCAAAATAAGACACAAAAAGAATTTTTTAAATATGAAGAAAGCATCAGCAAGCTGTGGGACAACTTCTAGGAACTGGAGTGTCTGAAAGGGCCAAGGGGCAGAAAAAAATATTTGAAGATATAATGATCTCCCAAACTCGATGAAAACTGAAACCAACAGGTCCAAGAAGCTTCGCAGACCCCACGCAGAAGAACATAAAGAAAATTACACCAAGACACATCATAGGAAAATTGCTCAAAACCAGTGATAAAGAGAAAATCTTAAAAGCAGCTGGGGTGGGGGGGTGGGGGGAGAGGCATTACATTCAGGGCAACAATCACAGCACTTTTCCTATCAGAAACAATGCAAGTAAAAAGACAATGGAGCAACATCTTTAAGCACTGAAAGAAAAAAACTATTAACCTAGAATTCTATACTCAGCAAACCTATTTCTCAGACGAGAAGGCAACATAAAGATGTTCCTAGACATCTAAAAGCTGTAGGCATTCCTCACCAGCAGATTTGCACCACATGAAATGTCCAAGGAAGCCCTTCGGGCAGAAGGAAAATGGTATTGACTGAACATCTAGACCTGCACAACAGAATAAAGAACACTGGAAATGGTAACTACTTGGGCAAATATGTTACTATTACTTAAATCCCTTTAAGAGGTAACTCACTCTTTAAGGAAAAATAATAATGCATCGTGGGGTTTATAATATATGTGATATGCATTCTGTGTAAACTGGATTCCAAAAATCTTTATATTGCCTTGCAGGGTAACCACCTGGAGAATCAACACTGACCTGCATGTCTAAGCTCTGGTTTGTGCAGTTGGTTTTTCTTTGTTTCTTTTTTTAATCTCATTCTCAGTCTCACATTCAATGGCTCTCATTACACTCCACATAAAATACAAATTCCTTACCAAGGCCTAAATGATCCCACGTGATCTGCCCCCTGCCTTTCTCTCCAACATCCTTTCCTGTCGTTCTGCCCCTCAACCACTTTGCTTCTCAGCCACAGTGGCCTTCCTTTAATTCTTAGGATGTACCAAAGTTTTTTCCCCAACTCTGTGCCTTTAACTTCCTATTCTTCTGCCTGGAATACTTCTCTCCAGGCTCTTCTTGTGACCAGCTTCTTCTGACTCTGGATGACCACCCCATCTACAAGAGACACTCTGCACCATTATCCTCTGTCACAGCACCCTGTTTCTTTTCTCCACATAATATTTATGTTGTGTTTATTAATTTGTTTATTGTCTTTCCCCATTAGAATGTCTATCTCAGTCACTGTGCTATCCCCAGCAACTAGGACAGTATCAGCACATAACAGGCCCTCAATAAATAATAAATACAATTCAGGATGCCACTTTTCAAGGGGACACTGACTACATTGTACAAAGAAAGAAACAACTGGAATGAAAAGGGTCTAGAAATCCTGACACTGAGGGACTGATGAAGGAACCAGAAACATGTAGCCTAAGGAACTACATTAAATAAAAATATTCAAATTATCTCCAAATATTTGAAGGCTATCATAAAAAGAAGTATGTTCCACACATCAAAAACTGGTATCGGTTGGCCAAGGTTTCAAGGAGACATATTTTGAGTCTATATACAAAAACAACTTTATCACAACTAAAACTTTTTAACCATGAAATGGACTGTTTCACTAGCTTCCCACTACTGAAGTTATCCAAATGGCTGAGTGGTTATTCATCAGAGATCCTGAAAATAGAATTTCTATACTAAGAAGTGAGTAGGGAAAGTTGACCTACAGGTCCATTCAGATTCTAAGAATGTCTAATTCTAAGCATATAGGCAATGTTTAATTTCAGTTATACAAAGGGGTCAACAGCCATTATCACCTTACATTCAATGTATTTATTCAACAAACACTGACTGAGCAACTAATCAACAAATCACTAGCCCTACATTAGCCCTAAGAAGATAAACAAAAACAAAGCATGGTTGTTACTCCATCCCAAAGAGCTATAGCCTAGGAAAGGAAATAAGACAATTACGACTCAGGATAGAATGAAGTAAGTGCCATAAACAAGGCACAAAGTGCTTTAGTTAAGGTTTTTCCTGCATAATTGATTTTGTTATATCTGAAAATAAACCCAGTCCACGTTTTATAAAAGCTGCAAATAACTCCCAGGATCCAAGCACAGGTTTTATGGAATATTTCTGATCACTGCAAGGCAAGCTGCTCTAGAATCTGAACTTGGAGGTGAGTAATTATTAGAATGGATATGACTAAAGAGATAAATTCCCCACCTAACAATTTCATATCTACTAATATTTAAAAATTGCATTTCTGAAGAAAAAATAACAAATGAAAAAAAAAGAAATTGCATGATCTCTGTCTCCAAAGACAATTTGAAATGATGACCCAATACTTTACTTGAAAAATTCTAACTAAACTAGAAATGTAATAAATCTATTAAATTTATCTCCTGGTTTTCTTTTATTCCTTTAGCAACGATCTGATACTATACAGTTCTGGAGAAATAAGCCTAAATAGGTAAAAACTAGAATAGCTATAAATTTACATTTTACAAAGGAGATTTAAGGGAACCGATTTAAATATGAACCAATCCCACTTCACATTCCAGGGAAAGTCCTCACACTCTCTACCCAAGTACATGGCTTTTTTTTTTTTTAAGTTTTACTATATTTGTGTATACATTATAATTACAACGGAAGACTAGTGAGAGAGGATCCCAATTCGGCTTGCTTATGTACTAAAACACATAACTCATTACATTGTCCCCCAAATTTGGATTTCAGTAATGACTATTTGGTAAATTAGATCCTAGCACTTCAGAGAGAGCAGGGCCCTTAGAGATGGCTAGTTCATAATATTTTGTTTTGTCTTAATACATGGCTTTTTAAGCAAGTCAGTACATTTAACCAAAATAAATACATCAATAGCACAAGAATGCTAGATGTCTAAGCACCACTGCATTCTAAAAATAAGATCCTCTAAATCCATCACGGTGCTTAAAATGAACATTTTTACATAATAAAGATGCTGACAGCAAAATAAAGCATTTATAGCTTAAGAGGCAGAAGAAAAGCAATAAGCAATTGTATTTTTGAAAAAGGAAAACTAGCAATTTTATGGAAACCATGCCAAAGAGTTTTAGGAAAAATTATGAATGCAAAAAGGGCATAAGACAGAAGTCAAGTCTCCAGGCCATTATCAGCTACTCGACGTACCGCAGTCCGAAGGCATTGGTGCCGCAGAAATGGAAAAAACAACTGGTGTCTCAGAACCTGGAAATAAAAACGGGTATCTTCCAATCAAACAATTTCCTTCTACTGGAAAATCTGGAAGGTCCTCTATGGTCATCTTCTAGAAAGCCACCTTTAATGAGAGGGAGAAGAAAGCATATCTATTATACTTGTATGCAGCTTAGAATGATGGCCTTCAATCACAGTAAAAAAAAAAACCTATTTTCTTTTAATATATAACCTACTGACATTTTTTTTAAGATTTTATGTTATAAAGTAATTTCTACACCCAACATGGGGCTCAGACTTACAACCCCGAGATCAACTGTTGCATGTTCCTCCGACTGAGCCAGCCAGGCACCCCAACCCACTGACATTGTAAACTTCAACCTTCAAGAATCTCTTTTAGAAAGGAAGATGAAAATAAAACTTCCTTTTAGCAAACTGTTGTTGAAGAATATACGTTGCTTCATAAGTCTCTTACAGACATGCAGTCTTTTTAGACACAGCCCGGGAGTAATAAAAAGCTATGTATTTCCCAATAATAGGTGAAAATATTTTAAAATGCTGAGTTAATCTAAATGGGTGATCTTCTCTTTACTCAAGTAACAAAGGGACATAATATCCCTTATAGATATATCTCTATCTATCATAGGATCTAACACAGGTTATATTATCGATCATCCAGTAATAGCTCATATCATATGCTCATCACATGAAAATCATATACTTTAGAATGTTATTATTTTCTGAAATTCCAGAACACTTTACTAAAAATCAATCACATCACTTATACAAATATGGATCTAAGAGCTTACTGGCATTGTTCACTTCTTATCAACATACAAGACCTATTCAGCCTATCCTAGCAGAAGTTGGAAGGCCATGCCTTGTAAACCACGTCACTTATATTACCTCTTTTTCCCAGAAAACATGAGAGCTTAGAATAAATATGCTATAAACTGGACTGCTGCTGCAGCCTAGCTCGTTTGGCAATGGCATAGAAGGCAGAGAAAATGTTAGTAAAACTGAACTATAAAGGTAAAAGAGCATCCAGTTTCTTTTGTATTAAATCTTTAAAGTCTGAAATATTATGAATCTATTTTTAAATATAAGCAAAAAACTATATTAAAAAACTAAATAAAAATGATTTTTGACCATTTTAGAAAGAATAAATCAAGATAGTTAATTGATAGCTTACTCTACCAGGTCATGATAGAGTAAGGATATTACTCAACGTGTGTTCTATTATACTTCGTTAACCAGTCCTATATCTGACTTACCCATCTTTACTCCACCATCACCATCCTGCTCCAAAGAAACAGTAACCCCTCTGAGCTAACTGGTTCCTTTCCAACTTGATTCATATGTTTTCTGAAGACTAACAGGAACTGGTAAAGAGTAAGGTGATTTCTTTTTTTCTCATAAAGTGCATGCTTATATGGATGTGTGGATATTCTATATTAAAGAACCTAATCCAGTGTTAACTATGTTAAAGGTATTCAAGTTCTCTTGGATGCTAAAGTTACTTGCCACCCAATACTTTGAATCATTTTGACAGTAACTCTGCCACATAAACAGGAAAATAACAAGAAACTGGCATCACACAGCAAGGTGATCTTCCTCAAATACTTCAATTCCAAAAAGTAACATACACCCTAGAGTTTCTCATCCAAAAATGTTTTTTGAAAGTGATCCTGAGACCACCTGTCATTTCCTCGCAGGCTTTGGAGATCCTTAAAGAACTGTACCTTATACAACTATCACCTACCACAGGAGCTAGATTAGTGTCTTACACATATTTTTAATTCAAATCCTAGATTCAGGGTGGAAAGATGATTCATTTAACAGGATGTAATAAACGCTGTCATTCCATATGCTAGATACTTCAAGCCCAGAGAAGCTACAATATTACTTGATCAATGTACTGAACATTCTTTGTACTTTGTGTCTTCATTGCATTTTTCCCTAGTCCCATTTCCTTTCCTTTATGAAAAACTCAACATTCTACCTTTTGCCCCATTTAAGAAAACTGCACACCTCTAAAAACTGGTCAAGTTTTAGAATCCTTCCTGAAAGCAATCTCTGGATCTGAAGATCTATGACACCTGGGATCTTGATAAAACTTGGTCAAAGTAGAATCAAATTCTCCAAATTTTGATTTATGCAGGAATCCCATCCTACACCATTACCCCAAATCAGCTCTGAGGAAATGCAACTTGTTTTAAAAGTTGGTTTTTTTTTAAGATTTTATTTATTTCTTTGACAGAGAGAGAGACAGCGAGAGAGGGAACACAAGCAGGGGGAGTGGGAGAGGGAGAAGCAGGCTTCCCGCTGAGCAGGGAGCCCGACGCGGGGCTCGATCCCAGGACCCCGGGATCATGACCCGAGCCGAAGGCAGACGCTTAACGACTGAGCCACCCAGGCGCCCCAGAAAATGCAACGTGTAACATGGCTCTAGCATCTAATGATTTTTCAAGGATTCCTGGCCATGCCCTAACACAGAATGGTGGTGAGTAGAGATGCCCACTAACTTCTTCAAAGTGGTTCAGGGCTGGTAGGCCTCACTATGGAACCTTACTGAGGTCAAGAGACTCTCTTGGTTTTATTTGGAATATGGTTCAAGGGCAGCATCTTTGAGCTACTCAACTAACAGGACATCTAAGCTGTATCCACACAAGTTGGAATCATGAGGCTCTTCCATTCAATTTCATGTTGTATCATGCCATGAGTCTTTATATTCATTAGACTCCCAGGAAAGTATTATAACCAAAATAAGCATTTAAACCATATCTCTAAGTATCCTTTAAAAATTAAAAATAGGGGCGCCTGGATGGCTCAGTCGGTTAAGGGTCTGCCTTCGGCTCAGGTCATGATCCCAGGGTCCTGGGATGGAGCCCCACATCTGGCTCCCTGCTCGGCGGGAAGCCTGCTTCTCCCTCTCCCATTCCCCTTGCTTGTGTTCCTGCTCTCGCTGTGTCTCTCTCTGTCAAATAAATAAAATCTTTAAAAAAATTAATAGAATCACTATATGATCTAGTGATTCCACTACTAGGTATTTAATCAAAGAAAATGAAAACACTAATCCAAAAAACTATATGCACCCTATGTTTACTGCAGCATTATGTACAATAGCCAAGATATGCAAACAACCCAAGGGTCCATCCACAGATGAGTGGATGAAGACGATATGGGTGTGTGTGGGTGTGTGCATGTGTGTGTGCGTGTGTGTGTGTGTGTGTGTGTGTGTGGAATATTACTCAGTCATAAAAAAGACTATCTTGCCATTTTCAACAATATGGATGCACCTAGAGGGTATAATGCTAAGTGAAATAAGTCAGACAGAGAAAGACAAATACCATATGATTTCAACCATATGTGGAATTTAAGAAACAAAACAAAGGAACAAAAAAGGAAGGAAAGCAGGGAGGGAGGGAGGGCAGACTCTTAAATATAGAGAACAAACCAGTGATTGCTAGAGGGGAGGTAGGTGGGGGTGAGTGAAAAGGATAAAGAATATTAAGAATACACTTATGATGAGCACTGAGTAATATAGCAATTGTTGAGTCATTTTACTATATACCTAAAACTAATATAACACTATGTGTTAATTATACTTTAATAAAAGATAACAAAAAATTTTCTAATGTAACATCTCCAGTTACCCACTTATTTGTTACGTACATGCATCTGTTCAATCACTAAACAAGTATCGACAGTATTTAATACTTAGTTGGCTCTGGGCCCTAGAGAGATTATAAAAGACACCTGCCCTCAAGAATTTCACTTAGTCACTCAACAAACATTTGCTGAGTGTTTCTAAGTCCTAGACTAGGTAGCAAAGGGAAAGAAAATAGGTATGCCCTTGTCCTCACATAGATTAGAGTCTCGTACAGGATTCCTATAAGAAAGCTGTAGGTACTATATAGTTGTAACAAGTGCTGGATTCAAGAGAGCCAGTGGAAGCTTCCCGAAGGACTAAATTTATAGCTGCAGTGTCCAAACAGGTAACTACTAGCCACATGTGGCTACTTACATTAAATTAAAAAATCAGTTCCTGCATTGCTCTAGCCCCATACACGTACTCAAAAGCCACACGTGGCTAGTGGCTAACCTGTTGAAACAGTGCAGAAACACTTCCCTCCTTGCAGAAAGTTCTACTGAATATCACTGAAGCAAAACAGTGCTGCTCAAACTCCAGATGAGAAAATAATAAACAGCAAGAAACAAATAAAGGTTAACAAAGCAAGCCAACAGCATCACAGTTAATTATACATAATTAACAAGGGAACAGTAAGCCTAAAAGTAACCAGATATTTGTAGGGTTTTTTTTAAGATTTTATTTATTCATTTGAGACACACACACACACACACACATATATATATATATATATATATGGAGAGGGGGGAGAGAGAGAGGGAGCATGAGCAGGGGGAGAGGCAGAGGGAGAGGCAGAGGGAGAGGGGAAAGCAAGCTCCCCGCTGAGCCAGGAGCCCGATGCAGGGCTCAATCCCAGGACCCCGGGACCATGACCTGAGCCGAAGGCAGACGCCCAACCATCTGAGCCACCCAGGCACCCCTATTTGTAGGTTTAAACAGAGAGAGTTGAGGGGCGCCTGGGTGGCTCAGTCACTGAGCGTCTGCCTTCAGCTCAGGTCATGATCCCAGGGTCCTGGGATCAAGCCCCGCATCGGGCTCCCTGCTCCACGGGAAGCCTGCTTCTCCCTCTCCCACTCCCCCTGCTTGTGTTCCCTCTCTCGCTGTGTCTGTCTCTGTCAAATAAATAAATAAAATCCTTAAAAAAATTAAAAAAAACAGAGTTGATTCTATAACATAAAGATCACTAGTACAAGTTTCAAAATTAGGGGCGTTATAAACAATAAAAGACACCATATAAATATCACTTTTTTAAAAAAGGCCCTGCTGGTGGAAACTGTATCTGGTAAATCTGAAATATCTGAAATAAATACTACAAATAACATACCACTTGCTAAATCGTCTATAAAATCTAAATAAAAATATTCATTCCATTTTGAGATCTAATCTTACAGCCCTGGTACTCCATTATCAAACGAAAGCATTAAAAATGCATATTAATGTTAGCAAAGTAAGATAGAGCCGGGATGGTTCTGCATAATAAAAACACAGAAAGCTAGACTTCTGCCATTTTCAATTCCCTGCTTTTCGTCCATCGGTGCTACATGTCCCGCACCGCCTGATCTTCTGCCATTTAGACGACTTACTTTAAATTTTGCAGAAGACTCATAAATGTCAATGTGAAAATGAAGTACAAGTATTTGGGGGATGTTTCCGAAGAGGGCGTTTCCTGGTTGAAATATTTCAAAGGCGCCGATTTTTACTATGATATTGCTACAATATGAACCACAGTCTAGCTGGGAACATAGAGTAAGTTACTATCCCAGGAGAATATCATCCTCTGATACGTATCAAAACACTGTCTCAGAGTTTAAATCCAAACTGCCTCTTTAGTCTCTGGATGAATGAACAACCTGACATCTAAAAGAAAGCTGACATTACAAACCCATCAATCTAATCTGCAAGGATGAGGTCTAAACCACGTCTCTGTTTAGGGCCGGTCTCGATGCAAGTGCTACCCCCCAACTTCCCTTCCCAATTCCCACGATTTAGAATTAAGGGATCTCAGGACAGCCAAAGACCGGAAGCAAAGTCACTTGGTTTCGCGTCGCATTCCCACTGGCAAAAGGTTTCTTAAACAATTTAAGAAGCCAAGGGAGGCACGAGAGATGTGAGGAGGCCCGCCGCAGGAACAAGACGGAGGGCGGCGCAGCGCACGCAGCATCTCGGCGCGCGGGTGGCACTCCCAGGGCGCCCGGGCAGCCGCGGCCGCGGCGGCAGAGTGGGGGGGGTGGGCCGCAACCAGACACCGCGCCGCACCTCCTCCGAAAGTTAAAGCGCCCGCCAGGAGCGGAGAGGAGAAACCCACCTCCCCGAAGGTGGGCCGCGCCGCCCCCGCCCCCGCCCCCGGCGCCGCCCCAGGGAGGCCTGCGGGAGCCCGCGACACCGGCGCCGCTGGACGCGGCCGCAGGGCTCCCGGCGCCTCCGCGCCGCCCTCCCCGAGCCGCCAACCGCCCCTCGGGCCCCCGCGCCCCCGCCCTGCCGGCCCGGAGCTCCCCCCTCCCCCCGGCGCGCTCCCGCCCCACCTGCTCCTCGGGTCCTGTCGGGGCGGCCGGCTGCGAACGCGGAGGCGCGGAGGCAAGGCCGAGAGGCGCGCTCCTCCGCCCGGCGCCCGTCTCCAGTGGCCAGCCGCGCAGCCTCCCGCCGCGCCGCTGCCCGACCTCGGCCGGCCCCTCCCGCCTGCCGCCTCCGCGCGCGCCGAGCGGGGCCCCACGCGGGGTCGGCGCGCGCGCAGTGCAGGCGCCCGGGCCGCGCGCAGGCCTCGGCCCCAGTCCCGCGCACGCGCCGGGACCCGGGGGAGGGGGCGGGGGGGGGGGAACGGAGGCGGGGAGCGCGCCCCTGTGCTCGCGCGCCTCCTGCCTGCGCCCTGGCGGCCCCCCCAGCCGACCCAAGGTCAGGCCCCCAGGTTAGCACTGTCTGGGGTTAAGCTTGCGTGGAGGTGGTGCTGCTGTGACATTTCCACCGCAGCTCGAGGGCGGCTCTCGGAGGAACCCCGCCGGGCCCAGGGCAGTGAGCGGGGGAAGCAGCCCTGAGCGCGCTTTTTCCTCCATTAAAGCCCTTAGCTAGCCCCTGGGGCTACGAGCGCCCCCACCGACTTCACAAGGGCAGCGAGGGCATCTTACCTGTTTGGGGGCTCCCCTGTGTCTAACCCCGTGCATGGTCGAGTAGGTCCATCAGCCAATTTACCTGTTTGCAGGTCTTACCGTACAAAGCCTAGTCAATAGTATGCCCAGGTTGAATAATTACACGCAAAGGTGTCAGTGTAGACAGCGTAAACAGTAGTCATCCCAGAACTTTATTTCCCCTACTGCTTTGCTCATTTCTTACCTTCTTCTCTCTTGGTCCCAGTCCCCATCCCCCAAGAGCCAGAAGGTGGTGAAACTGTGACAACTAACAGACAGAAATGCTGACATCCTGGTTCTCCATCATCCCGTGAAGGAAAGGTGTTACTTGACACTTAATGAGTCCCCTCAATGAAGGAACTTAATGAGTTCATTGTTTCCCCATGACTGAGGTTTATAACACTGAATCACTAGTGTTACACCGTAACAACTCTCTCTGAGGCCTTTTTGTTCTGGCTTTGCTATACAGATTACTACGATGTACTTCTGTGTTCACCAAGCATAGTGCCTAGGAATAGCAGATGTTGAATGAATGAATGTCTATGTCTCTGCACGAGCAGAGGTAAGTGCTGGGGCACACCAGAGCATCTTTTCCTGTTAGAATCATCGATTCCAGGGATTAGAAAAGGCCCCCTTCCAGTTGCTCGAGTCTCCCTTATGACATCCTTCCACCAAATGGCCATAGTTAAATGCCTTCAGTAACCAGGAACTCATGGAACACTACATCAAAAACTAATGATGTAATGTATGGTGATTAACATAACATAATAAAAAAAAAAGTAACCAGGAACTCACTTCCTTTGAAAACAGCCATTTTTATCATAGGTCAATCTTGTTGACAAGGTCTTCCTACCTTGAGCCAAATCCAGCTCCCTGCATCTCCTCCTTACTGGGTTTCTACCCTAGGGATTTCCAGATCATGTCTCACTGCAAGGTATCCAGGACAAGCATTCCCTATCCCTTAGGCTGCTCCTTATAAGACATGGTCAAGATCCCACTCACCAGCATGTTAAAGGACTCTTTACAATGCACCCCAGCTTGTCTAGAGCTCCCGAATGAACGGGAGTGTCTTGTTGCATGCAGAGAGGATAGAAACTCTCACCTCTTTCTAGGTCCTATGCTTCTATTAGCATAGCTCAAGATATCAAAAGAGTTGTTTGCAGCAGTCACATTACATTGTTAAATTGGTTGGAACATACTGTCAACTGAAATCCATAGAACTTATGTAATATTTAAACACCATGACCATCCCACAGTCCCCGGTCAGCTGCCAGTTTCTTTGTCCCTGCAAGTTCAGCATCTTCATGCACTCTTAGGGATGATAATGTGACACAGAGGCTTCCTCCCTTTGGGGCTTCCACCTCCCTTGCCCTGATCTCATGGTACCCTGTTTTTGTCTGACCCCGCCCACCTCTTTAACTGGTTAAAAGAAGAAAGGCAATCTGCCTTCGGTTGGCTTTCAGCAACTGTAAATGAGTCCTATGGTAAGTAAGCCACAAAAACTCAGAAAGATTTGTGTGTAACAGAAGTTTCCAGAGGTATACAATTCACTTTTATTGCTGATTTAAATTATCCCTCTGAGATACCACTATTATTAGGTGACGGGGTGTGGCTAGCTGTGTTGTTTTTAACTATAATGAAACTTTCTGTTCAAACCAGCCAGGTTACTGACTTTTTCTGCTACACCCAAATACAAAACAGTTGAGAGGCAATTTCGCAGGATACCAAGCCATTAGGGAGAGACTCTCCTACTCACTTGGTTGCCTTTGTCCAAAAAATTGAGTTTACACCATAAACCATCATCAAGGTAGTTTATGGGGTAATACTTCCTAGAACACCCCATGGGTCATACAAGTATGACCAGGTATTGCCTGTTTAACAAGAGTTGGACTGGGCAGTGATATGGGACCAGAACTTGGAACTTGAACCATCTACTGGGATGAGAAGGCACATGGGGATATGGTCCAGCTGCACCTACTAAGATGCAATTATGTCTAAGGCACAGCAAGGTTCCTGGACAACGAAGTATAAACCACAGTCCCAGGAGGTGATCAGCACCAGGGTGGAGAAGGGGCATTACTGACTGACTGCTATATGGCCCTTACCAATGGGATTTTATTTGCCTTCACTTTACAAATGAAGAAACAGACTCCAGGAGGTTGTGGAACTTGCTCAGTATACCTTGGGGCAGAAAAAGATTCAAACCTAAGTCTATCTGATATAAAGTCCTGTGTTGATCCACTGTTTTGTATTACCTACACAGGGTATCCTTTTGCGCATTCAGGACTCAGAAATGCTGTGTCAAACAGCATGGATCATTCAGAAATTCAGGCAGAAAGTTAGAAAGTCAGCATCAACTACTAGAAATTTACCCCAAAGATACAAATGTAGTGATCTGAAGGGGCACCTGCACCCCAATGTTTATAGCAGCAATGTCCACAATAGCCAAACTATGGAAAGAGCCCAGATGTCCATCAGCAGATGAATGGATAAAGATGAGGTATATATATATGTGTATATATATGTGTATATATACACATATATATACACATATATATACACATATATATACAATGGAATATTAGCCATCAAAAAAATGAAATCTTGCCATTTGCAACGACATGGATGAAACTAGAGGGTATTATGCTAAGTGAAATAAGTCAATCAGAGAAAGAATTATATGATATCACTCATATGTGGAATTTAAGAAACAGAGGAGTATAGAAGAAGGGAGGGAAAAATAAAAGAAGACGAAATCAGAGAGGGAGACAAACCAAAAGAGACTCTATTTTTTAAATTTTTATTTATTTGAGAGAGAGAGAGAGCATGAGCAGGGAGAGGGGCAGAAGGAGAGGGAGGAAGAGAAGCAGACTCCCTGCTGAGCAGGGAGCCCCACGAGGAGTTTAATCCCAGGACCCTGGGATCATGATCTGAGCCGAAGGCAGACGCTTAAGTGACTGAGCCTCCCAGGTGCCCCCCCCAAAAAAGACTCTTAACCATAGGAAACAAACTGAGGGTTGCTGGAGGGGAGTGGGGTAGGGGGATGGGCATTAAGGAGGGCACATGATGTAATGAACACTGGGCGTTATATACAACTGATGAATCACTGAACTCTACCTCTGAAACTAATAGACACTATATGTTAATTAATTGAATGTAAATTAAGTTTCGTTTAACTTAAAAAAATAAAATAAAGTCAGCATCAAAAAGGTCTCTCAACAGCTAACAGGACCCAAACCAAGAGGAAAGGATTGAAGACATAGGCAGAAGAAGACCAAGTCACTGCTCTTATGGGGACTGAGATATTGGGCAGGATATATCATTCACAGGGGAAGAACACAAGGACTCAGTTTCCAGAATCTGGTCGTACAGAGCATTAGGACCACAAGAGACATTCAGCTCTCAGAATTGGGATGTCAGATTGGCAGTAGCACCAACTTGCAGCAGTAGTTAAATGCAAAATATCAGAGCACTGGATAGAGCCCCTAAAATTTTTATATTTGCAGATGATATGATCATCAGCGTAGAAAAGCTAACAAAATCAACTATTAGAAGTAATAAGTAAGTCCAATGAGTTTGCCAAGTACAAGATCAAATGCTAAAAGTAGTTTCTTCTACATCAGCAGTAAGCAACCAGGAAATATAATAGACAATAAGATTCACAATAGCAATAAAACTCTAAAGCATAATATCCAGGAATTAACCTAACAACTTGCAAGAGCTTTATGGAGAAAATGTTAAAATTCTATGTAAGGACAAAAAGGAAGATTGAATAAGTGAAGATATGCCACAGATAGGACGTCTGGACATTGTAAAAATCCATTTAATTTCTAAATTCAATGTTATACCAACCAAAATTCCAGCAGGAACTCAAATTTTAAGAAACTTCAATAAATTTATAAAATATGTAAGGAAAAATAAAATGTTTAATGGTTATGTCAGTTTTGAAAAGCAAGAGCAAAGAGATGAAAACTGCCTTGCAAAATATTGTTATTACCACAGTGATAAAAAAGTGTGGTCCTAGTATGGGAACGGACAGAACGGTAAAACAGAAGACTCAGAAGCAGACTGATGAGGCCTCAATATATATAAAGGTGATACCACAAATCAATGAGAAAAATATACATTATCTAGAAGATGTTGTTGGGGAAACTGGCTTAGTTATATGTCTACCATATACAAAGGTGAACTCCAGATGAATTAAGGACCTACAATTTGAAAGGTAGAAAAGAAAATGTAGGAGAATATCTTTATGAATGTGGAGTAGGGATTTACTTCATAAAACAAGACTGCAAAAACACAAACCTTAAAACAAAAGGCTGGGAGATTTGACCACGTCACAATTAAGGCTTTTCTCCAGTGGAGACTACCACAGAAAAAGTTAACAGCAGGACGCCTGGCTGGCTCAGTTGGTTAAGTGTCTGCCTTCGGCTTGGGTCATGATCCCAGGGTGCTGGGATCGAGTCCCGCATCGGGCTCCCTGGCCCCCCTCTATCTGCCGCTCCCCCTGCTTGTGCTCTCTCCCTCTCTCTGACAAATAAATAAGTAAAATCTTTTTAAAAAGAAAGAAAGAAAAAGTTAACAGCAGCTGACAAATTGGGAGAAGATATATGATAGGTTCAAAAGCAGCTAGGGATTAATATCTAAAATATGT